ACATGAAGAAGGTAGTCGAGCTATATGGAAAGGATGGGCGCCTACTTTATTAGGTTATTCTCCTCAAGGTGCTCTAAAATTTGGTCTTTATGAAGTTTTTAAAGATGCATTATCAAATATAGTTGGCTATGAAAATTCTCAAAAATATCGTGATCTTATTTGGCTTAGTGGAGCGGCAGGATCGGAATTTTGTGGTTGTATTGCCTTATGTCCTATGGAAATGATTAAGGTTAAAGTTCAAACAAGTGTACCAGGTACATTTCCAATAGGTTTAATACCAGCTACTATTCAAATGAATATAAATAGAAAAACAACTCGATTTCCATATGGATCTATTGGACCATTATGGTCAAGACAAATTCCATATACTGTTACAAAATTTTATTTTTTTGAAAAGGTATTTTTGTTTTTGATTAAAAAAAAAACGAATATTTTTATTATTATTTTATATTGAAATAATTATTTAAGATTGTTCAATTATTTTATACTCATGTGTTTATCGAACCAAAATCAAGTTATTCTAAAAGTACTCAATTAGGAATAACATTTGCTGCTGGTTATTTAGCTGGAATTATTTGTGCTATTGTATCTCATCCAGGTGATTCAATTGTTTCATTAATGGCTAAACCATATTATAAAGGAAAATCCATTAAAGAAATAGCTAAACATTTTGGTATTATTAATTTATGTACGAAAGGTCTAGGAACAAGAATTATTATGATTGGAACAATAGCTGCACTTCAATGGTGGATTTATGATACATTTAAAACAACTATGGGAATGGGAACAACTGGAGGAAAATAATATTTTATTATTTTTGTTTTTAATTTATCAAACTTCTTTATATAAACACGTTTTTAGTAAGAGACATTTTTTTATTTTTTCATTAAAAAAATTATATAAATTTTTTTTTTTGTCAAATAATATTGAAAAATATTGACAAAAAATAAAAATAAGTAATTAATTGATTATATTGTTATTTATTTTATGAGTAAAATATTATTGATTGATAAAGGTAAAAATTTATTTACGTATTTATTATTTTATTTAAACTAAATTAATTTATCTTACACTCAACAAATGACATTGATCATTATCATCATTAATAAATATCTTCATTTCGATTGTTTAATAAATACAATATTTAAAATAATAATAATAATAATAATGTAACTTAAATAGAGGTGTAAGCCGAAGGGTCAAACGGCGGTGGCGCCTATTAGACTCTATGTTTTTCTACACCGGCGGCGGCTTTGACAGTCAAAAAAAAAAACGTTTTTACTCCTAAAAATGTCAGTGGCGGGGGACAGATACACTTATCGACCCCCCTCATGTATTGAGGGTGTGTGGGTGTGGGTGTGGGGTGTGGTCGTGTGTGGGGGTGTGGATGTAGGGTGTGGTCGTGTGTGGGGGTGTGAATGTGGGTGTGGGTGTGGGGTGTGGTGGGTGTGAGTGTGGATGTGGTTGTGAGGTGTGGGTGTGGGTTTGGGTGTGGGTTTGGGTGTTTTTCCTGTTCTAGAGATACTATCAGCCACAGCCACACCTCACACCCCACAACCACACCCACACCCCACACCCGCACCCACCCTCAAGATAGTGATGGTGAGGGCTCAATACATGAGGGGGGTCGATAAGTGTATTTGTCCCCAGTGGCGGCGGCGCAGCTGGATGGCTTACACCTCTAAACTTAAATCAAATTAAAAATATGTTTCTTATGAAAACACATTCGAAATACTTTTCGATAATAGACTAAATTGAGACAATTATAATATTATGTTCAACCATAGAAATTTCCAAAGTTGTTCGTCTTATTTTCTATGTTATTTATTTATTTAGATTATTTTTAATTGAAAAATTTTTTAAAAACAATCAATGCAATCTTTTAATATATTTCAACTGTAAACCTTTGAAAATTCTATAATGTAGATGGGATTGTTCTTCTAACGAGGGAACATTTCCAAGTAATATGCATCATTCGGGCTCATACTTTACTCATAAGTAGGACTTAGTGAGACTAGAAAAAGCCTAAAAGATTTCGTGCCATTAGGCTTTTCTTTCAAAGTTATGGCCGTTTTACTGAATTTCGACGTTGGGCAAGGAATTTATAGAAAAACTAGATGAAGGAATTTCGAGCTGAAATTTCTTCATTTAATTTTTTTTATAATTTCCTTTTCCAACATCGAAAATTCAGTAAAACGGTCATAACTTTGAAAAAAAATCCTAATGGCACGAAATATTTAAAACTTTGTCTACTCTCACTGAGTCCTACTTATGAGTAAAGTATGAGTCCGAATGGTGCATGTCACTTGGAAATGTTCTGTCGTAAGGGAAGGCTCTTCTACCTCGAGAAGGGACTTAATAAAAAAAAGAAAAAACTATTGATCTATTGTGTTTTATCTTAATTGTTTCACCAATGTTTTCATATTCGTCATCAATTATATCATTTTTATAAAAGAACTTTCAATGGTCTCTATGAATATTACAAATCTTAAGTGTAATATAAACGATATTTTATTTTTTTAATTCATTTTTAATGATGTTTTATCTACAGTTTCTGTGATTTTCTCGTCTCTGATATCAAACCTTTAATTATTAAGACTTAAGTAATTATCAACAAACGAAATTAACTATTGAGGATTTTCCTTAAAAAAAAAATAAAAACCTAATAAATTATTTTTAAATATCCTACCTTGAAAATGAAATATGATTATTAAAATTTTACAAAGATTTCTTATAATTATATTTGTCTGAATTTGTTTAGTTAAGTTCATAAATAAAAAAATAATTAGAAACAGTTAGTGAGTTAAATTTATTTTTCATATTCATCTGTCTTTTTCCATGGACAGAGATATATTTATCAAATAATCAACATTGATTATTTTATTTCAACGGAATTGTTCAAAAGAAAAACACAACAAGAATAATAAATCATGATGAAATTCAATTATTTTTTTGTGCCTTTCTGTTCGATTGTTTATTAACGATAAATCTAACCTATGAAAAGAAATATTTACACAAAATATCGATTTAATGATAAATTTTTGAGAAACAAACGCTATATTTCCATTTAAATACATCGTTTTTTGTTTAAATACATTTATTTTTTCATTTACAAGACATTTTTCTCAACTTGAAAGACTATCGAAAAACATTTCTTATTGAACTTTGCGATGAATTAATGGGAGTACGTGTCTTTTCCCTTGCGAATAAATCCTATTTATTATCCAGGGTGGTCCATAAATAACTGTGCGATAAGAAATTCGAATATCTCCATTACGGCTCGAGCAAACGTGCTGATTTTTTTATCAGTGATAGATGCATGTATCAAGTTTATATCCATAAAGACATGTCCAGGGAGACCCTTTGTTAAGTATTCCTATTGCCCTCAACAAGAAAAATTTCACTTTTTCACAGATAGAAAAAACTCTAGTATACTTAATAAAGGATCTCTCTAGGCATGTCTTTATGAATATAAAGCTTGAACGTGGCTCTATCATTAATAAAAGAATCAGCTCGTTAGCTCGAG